TCTTCACCAAAATCATTTTTTGATGGTACTACAAATATCCTAGTAGGTGTGAGACAATACTTTGTTTTGTGCTTTGGATTTGCACATACCTAATGGATTATAATGTTGAATGCCTTTTCATGTGCTCATTAGCTATTGTATATTTTCTGTAAAGAAATGTCTATTCACATCAGCTGTCTATTTCAAAACTGGAACACTCATCAGTATTTTATTCTTTTTGTGGCCAAGTAATAGTATGTTGTGTGGAAATGCTACAATTTATATATTTATTACATTGAAGAATAATGTACAAGTGTATTGTTACAACTACTATTGCAAGAATGGAAAGTGTGGGCTTATGAGTCACAAGATAGGAGGCACATGGTGATTCGAGTGCCTGTCATCCATGCACTTGAACAAACCTACCATAGGAGTATTCCAGGTGGAGATAACCTAAACATTCCAGATAAGGTACTGAATAAATATACAATGAAATTCTACTATTTAGTATCAAAAAGAAAGACAAAGAGGGAGAGTGCAGTGGTTTTGGATGGTTATCCCCCAAACCATAGTCTTCATCCCTAGAATGGCAAGGTAGGAGAAGGAAACTTTTGGCAGCTGGGGTCCTACAGGAAGTGTACAGACTTTGGAGCTGTGCCTTAAGAGTCTTCCCATCCCCTTCTCTCTCTCTCCTTCTTGACAGAAAGTAGGACCACTTTCTCCAGCATGTGCTCTTACCAGTATCATGCCAGCCTCATCAAAGCCACAACCATTGGGGCCCCTTAAGCTTATATTTGAAGCTCTAAACTGTTAGCTGAGTGAAACTTCTCTCTATAAATTAATTACTTCAAGTGTTGCTTTATAGTAATGTGAGAGTGACCCATCCAGAGGGAGAAGAGGAGGAAAGAAGGAGGGAGGGAATAAAAAGGGAGAGAAACAGACACTTGACTTATATGCTTGCTCTGGGTTTCTGGAAATCTAAATGCACTCAGGTAACACTGACATGGACCTCACTGTGAGGCTTCAGTGTTTCTCTAGTAAGTCCCCCAAAAGATATTGCTTCAGGATGAACCCATGGTTCATCTTCATTTTCCCTTGCTCATAGAAGTTCAGTTTGGATTGGAGCAAGAAGTTTAGCCTAGAAAAATGAAAGCAAGTCCATGCTAGATGATTGCTTTCACAGCCTCTGCATGATCTGCATGAACCAAATTCTGGCTAATGACCTGGGGGCGAGACAGTACATCCTGATAAATACTTTTCTTTTGTGAAAAAATATTAGAAACTCCATTTTCCACTGGGATTCTTTTCTTCCTGCCTTGAGTATGATTTACAAAGATACTATATTTTTGGAAAGATAAAGATCATCTTGTAACTATGCAGTGGTGATTTTATTTAAGAGTCAGTACTTGGCAGTTTGCAGGGATATGAAAGAAGAAGAAGTTATGGTCCCTGAGCTTGAAGAGCCTACAGGAGAGTTATGGCTTGTGTCTAGATGTCCTTTCAAAGCCTCATGCAGTTGTAGGTGGCTTTTTCAGAGGTGGCTGAATCTAGAGTGTGTGATGCTAGGATTAAGTGTGTGATTACTAGATCAGTTCACTGATTAGCCTAGATAGAATATAAAAAGGTGTAGAAAGAAGCTGCTAAGGTCACTTGTTTGTTCCCATTGCTTGCTTTGTTATCTTCTGCCCACCATGAGCTCTTTCTCCTCTACAATGCCCCTCTGCCAGGCCACTGTCTTGAAGCCAGACAAATATAGACTGAAACTTCAACAAATTGTGAACTAAATAAACTTGTCCTCCTCTAACTTTTGGTGTCAGGTATTTGCCCCAGCAATAAGAGAAAAGTAACTAAGACAGAGAGTGTCAAGAAATGCACGTGAATTAACTTGAGAACAATTAAAAAGTTTATGGTATAATGATGTAGTGCAGTGTCAAATAACTTCAACCCAATGACAGTCCTCCAGAATCCACTGTTGAATTATTCTGTCTTGCCAGTGTTTCTGGCCAATCCAGTTAAACTGAAGTTTTAAGGAAAGACTGACAATAAGAGAGATTCTAGTCTAAAATTTATGTATTTTAAGTGTATTTCTGCCTCTGTTTAAACGCCAATGATGACTTTTACTCAGACAAAAACATAGAATAGAAGAGGATTAGACTGGACATTGGGTTTTAATCTTGGTAAAGCCCATTAATAACTGTACAAAACTGTAAATGTCATTTGACCTTTTGAGATTTTATTTTCCTTATTTGTATATTACGGCTAATGATTCATTTAACAAATATTTACTGGGTACTTACTTGGTGTGGGACATTGCTTTAGGTAATAAAGATACAGCAATAAACACAAGAGACAAAGATCCTGACCTCATAGAATGTAGACATACAATAATAAATATGTACTACATCAAGGTGTAGCCATAGGTTTGAGCAAAAAAAACCAGAAAATGGAATAAGAAAAAAGCAAACTATGACAGTGCATTGATAAATAATGTCAGATAACTAAAGAGAGAATTGGGTAATGTACACAGGATAGTACTCAAGAAAGTCTTTGACAAGAGGCCTGCATTTCCTTTCCCACATAGTATATGGAGAGAGAGAGAGAGAGAGAGAGAGAGAGAGAGAGAGAGAGAGAGAG